GGGCCGGCCCACGAATCTGTTAGCAAAAGCAAAGTTCTTCAATAGCTAGTTCGACTTTATACGAGTTCCTGACAAATTCAAATATTGCCAAATATCACTCCAAGCTACCCTTAAGCTAACAAAACATTAATAACTGACATGAAAACTGACTCTATCAACTGTAAACGAATACATCTAATGCTACGGAATTCAAGAATCTCCATGAACAAGGAATTTACGAAAAATTTAGGCAAATTGAACAAGAAAGCCGCCATATTGGATTTCAATTTCGATACTYAAAGTCGTCAATCRTTCAGTTTAGTAAATCAATTACTTGAAATTGTTTCTTCTATTGACTATTTTGATCTTTTCATGTGTTTTGATAGTATTAAGTTCTTATAAAGAATGATTTAATAACATTCTTATGGCCTTTGTTGTAACCTTATAAATCTTAAGACTTCGACAACGTTGATCTTTTTAAACATTCGTATAACCTTGTTAACTGCTTTATTCTGGAAAAAAAAACTATTAATTTCTGTAATATAAGCAATTATAATACTAGTGTTGTTTCAATAGAAGTAAGTAAAAAAAAAATTGTACTTATTTTATGCACTACAATGAGTATATGAGTTTTTAAACCCTAATACAGAAAAAATTACAAAAGAGTTACAAAGGTACAGTACCGCCTGAAATCATTGAAGCATTGAGACGCGTCTGTTTCGCGATTTGAACGTGTTTAATGAACACGGCCTGCATGCGAATGTACGCGGCCTGGACGTGAATGAACGCGTTTTGGACGCAAAAAGAACGCGGTCGGGACGCTGTCGACGCAGTGACAACAGTTACAATACATCTACTGTATGTACATGTATGTAGTCAACAGATCACTGATCGAACAATATTATGAAAGAAAAATAGCGCTCCGCGCAGTTTGCGTCACACATTTGCACCTCCGTCGAGTACTCACGACAGAAGACAACTTTACAATGCCGCTTACTAAATTCGCAATTTTTACTCATCGATTAGGGGTCGTTAAACGCAACGAATTTCTATTCTGACTTAAAATAATAACGTGTAGGGTTSTTAAACTTTGATAAACTTGTGAATTTGAGAAAAATAAAACGAAGTTTTACCGCCCCTAATCTCACCCTTAAGGCTCGAATTATTTAGGGCTCCG